ATGTAACAGACTATACGAATTTTCAGTTTATTTGAAGTGATGGACAAAATTGAATGATAGTAATCCATATAAGCAAAGAAAACTGGGTTGCCAATGGAAGATAAAATTTAAAAAGTGTGTTTTTTAAAAAGTATTCGATACTACGAGTACTTTGGAAAGTATCGAGTAAAATCGCCAAATAAGGTATCGAGTATTAAAGTACTCATTTTTATACCCTCAGTATCGATACTTACTAAATATCGATAGTATCGTTCGAACCCCAGTCGAAGGCATTCGACATGGTAAACCACCCGACGTCCTGGGCTCGTCGCTTGCGGCTCGGATGAAACGGTGGATAACCAGCAATCTGTGTAGCCGTCAGTCATCAGCTACGGTTGCCAGACGTACTGATTTTATCAGTACAGTACTGATTTTTCAACTCTTGTACTGATTTTATTCATTTCTTCAATCAGTACGCTAATGTCCTGATTTTTCAAAATTTGTACTGATTTGTACTGAATTTTCTATTCACTTTAGTATTTTCTTAAGGTTTTTACATAACGTTGGAACTTCCTTAAACTGTACTGTAAAAAATAAGAAGAAAATAATTTAATTATAGTTGACATGTTTTAGATAATGTTTGATATGCCCAAGAAATTAATACAACAAAAAGATCAATCGTTTTATGGGCATATCGCCGGGTCGTTACGTACCAGTTGTGATAATATGATGGAGCTTAAATTATTTAAAAAGAAGGCTTAAATTTTTGTCGAGTGTTGTTAGTTATCTCAAAAATAACTTTCAGTTTAATAACAATAAATTTCAATATTCGAATGGCTTTTGCCTATAACTTACAACTCCTTTTTCTCAATTTACTGACTTTGTAAAAGAGTTTTGCATACAAGACATAGAGTTAGATACTCTTTTTAGCGAATTCTTAGGGCTGGTTTCTCCAACTCAACTTAACTTAGTTAAGCCAATCTCTTGACTTAGTCAAGAATAAGCTGTGTAAAACGTAGGCTAACTTTTGACTTAAGTCCGAAAAGTGGCTAAACTAAGTAAAGTAAGAATAACTAAGTAAGAATAAAGTTTGTTTCCTGGCGCAAAGAGAGAAACCGGCTTCTAATTACAATTTTTGAAAGTGAACTTCAAATTAAAAGTAATTTTAAAATGAAATGTATACATTTCTTTGACTATTTAAACACTGAAAATGGGAATGATCTCATTATTGCTATTCAAAAAGTCACAAATATAAAATAATTTATATGCTCCTGTGTATAATGATGCGTACACTCATGTTAAAATGAATAACACTTTTATTTTTTATGAACTATATTTTATTTATATATCAAAATATTGTTAAACACAAGAACTCAGGCGTTTTAAATTATTTTCTGTTACTTATATTCATTATTTTGCTTTGAATAAAAATGTACTGAAAAGTACTGATTTTTTAGCATGAAAAAGTCTAATGTACTGATTTCGCGCATAAAAAATCTGGCAACCCTAGTCATCAGCTGAATTTTAAAACGCCAAGTCCTAGCCGCGTAAAATTAAACGGGAGGTCCCTCAAGGCGTCGTATTGTCCCCGACACTGTTTAATCACTACATGGCAAAAATCCCTCCGCCGCCAGCCGGAGTCAACTTGATAAGCTACGCTGATGATTGCACATTTATGGGGACAGGCTTAAACATCGACAGCCTTTACGATCAAATAACCGACCATCTCACCGATCTTTCTCATTTCATCACTGCAAGGAGCTTCAAAATCTCCGCCTCTAAATCACCGCCACACTCTTCACAACCTGGACAAGAAGGTCAGGCTAGAATTGGACGTCTTCGTCGATGGTGCCAGAATACCGATGACCAATCACCTCAAAATCCTGGGAGTGACGTTCGATAGTCGCTTCTCCTTCTCCGCGCACGCCTTAGCCACATGCAACAAACTTCGAAGAAGAAAGCCAACTGCCGGCGGTGAAAGAGCATAACACCACTCTGTCGAAGCAATGCCTCGTGGGATTCCACTGAGGAACCACCCCAACAACGCCCTGCTTCGCAACCAACCGCCCCACGACATGTGAGACGACACCTCAACGACTGTGAGGAAACCAGACATCGATCCGTACGTAGACCATCCGTTCGACACAGCTTGATATAGACAGTGCTGCCAGAAAAAATTTCGTTTGGAGTCGAAAAAAGAGCTTAAAAGATCTAAATAATACTAACAACTTCCCTGTCCTCATACAATGCATTTTGTTAATCTAAAATCTAAAGTAATCGGGCTAATTGCCTTTAACTTGTAAAATACTGTTAACACTGTTTTTGGTTTGCCTGCGCCGCTTGCGCAGCATAAACTGTTTTTTGTCTCTCCTGAATACTTGGGATTTTTTGAGTTGTGACAGTTTTTGATTTAGGGTGCGATATGTATTGCATTGAAGAAAAATCTGTTACGTCCGTTAAACATTTTAATTCAAAATAAAGCCAACAAAGAATTGCTTCTGATGAAATATGATTTGGTTGTAATGGTCCGTAATTTGACTTTATTTAGATAATGTTTAAGAAAGGAAAACCCCCAGGACTCGCAGAGTTTTACTTATTCTTACATGTACTCTGAAACCACTTCTGTTTTCGTCACATCCCTTCCGTTTTCGTATCATTTATTTAACAATAAATTCAAACAATTAGTTTTTGAGGAAAACGCATTTTACGTACGTTTTTTAAAGGGAATTTTTCATAAAGTAAAAATCGATTTTTTCGACCCGTAAGTCCCTTTTAACTGTTCATGTCACACACATATATATACATATAGTATCGGCCATATTAATAGCGCACCCTTCTCAAGTGATATTGTTTGCCACTTATGTTTATTTACTTTTTTTTTAGAATTTTCAATTAAAACAGTTCATTCTCTAACAAACCCAATAGAAACTCTAGTTTGAAACTTTGTAGAAAACTAAAAAAATTAAAAAAAATTCATCCCAACTTCAAAGTATTAAATATATGTTTTTAACCTTTCCGAAAGCTACCGCTTCATGGTGAGCCGGGGTGTTTCAATTTTAAGTAAACTAGCGTCCTTAAATTTCGAAATATTGAAGTGTCAAACATTTCTGAAATTTACCGTTATATGACAAGTCCGAAATTTTAGTCCGATTTCAATAATTTTCAAAGTTTGGTACAAATTGGTACAACGGTTACCGAGATACATATATGTGATCATAAGTGGGCGGTGCCACGCCCATTTTTCAAAATTTTATCATAACGTATTTCTTGGTAAAGAATTGTTGCAGCATCAATTTTGAATAAATTAACTTTAATATTTACTGATTTATCGAAGATTTCGTATTTCTCTAAATTACCCTTATATGGAATGTGCGGCGTGGTTACTGTCTGATAATTATTGTCTGCAAATTGGTACAACTGTTACCGAGATACATATATGTGATAATAAGTGGGCGGTGCCACGTCCATTTTTCAAAATTTTATCATAATCGTATTTCTTGGTAAAGAATTGTTGCAGGCATCAATTTTTGATAAATTAGATTTAATATTTACTGATTTATCGAAGATTTCGTATTTCTCTAAATTACCGTTATATGGGATGTGGGCGTGGTTATTGTCTGATTTTAGAAATTTTCGGCCAGTTTTTATGTTGTACCAAAGCCAACAACTGTGCGGAAGAAATTGGTGCAGCTGTTACCGAGATATACACATGTCATAATCATAAAAAATTTATTATATTCTTATTTTTTTTCTCAAACTTATTGTAAATATCAATTTTGAGTGAATAATCTTCAGTAGTTACTAAAATATCGCAGTTTTCGTATTTCTGAAAATTACGGTTATATGAGAGGTAGGCGAGGTTATTGTCCGATTTTGCCCATTTTCAATACCATCCGTCCTACGCCCGAAAGATCGCAATTTTTACTCGAGTTATCGTGCGCACAGACGGATGGACGGACAGACAGTCACAGCTTCATCGATTTCTTTTTTCATTCTGATCATTTTATGTATGTATTTGTCTATATCTATCTCGTTTCGTTTTGCCTGTTACAAACAACAGTTATGTGAACAAAGTATATTAATACCCTTGTGAACAAGTGCGCTCGGGTGTAAATATGTAATATTAAACATCGAATAATCAAAAGAAATGTAACCAAAATTGGTCGAAATAAAAAGTTTCTATTATTTCTTACACCACTGTATGTGTGTATGTATGAATATTTGGATGTATAAAACCATTTGAACTTCTAATCAATTCACATCTGTACCTACATTCGTATTATGTACATCCATATGTATGATATACATATGTATGTACGTTAGTCTTCCAAACGTAAACTTATCAGTTGAGTGGATTTTGTTGCTGCTCCGCTCACATCGCTGCTTCCGATTCCCCTCCACCTGCTTTTGAGCTTCTCGTTGTTTATTGCTTTCTCGACCTTGTTCACTCTGCACATATTATTACATATTATGTATTATGTATTACATATATGACTCTGCCATTGCACAATCTACTTTTGTAATCGTACAAATTTTCGGTAATGATTTCCATAATTTTTACAAATTCAAGCAAGTGAAGAGTGTAAATACATGTTAGTCATGGTATTGAAATAATGCTATATGCAAGAAATCGATGTGTACGTGGATTGAAGCGCTATATATGTTTGTAATTGCAATTTCATGCCTATGAACGTACATATGTAAATAAATACGTATGCACAAACATAAATTAAGTGATAATTAAACAAAAAAAAAAAACAAAAGGAAAGACGAAAGTGAAAGTTGTGAATATACATAGAACTACAGTTGATTTGATGCGGAAAGAAAATTGGATAATGTCCTCGACGGCGCATAGCGGAGACAGCGATTCCTTAAATTATGAAGAACTCAATGTCATTGGGACAGGTAATTTTAGTAATATGTACATACTTATTTATTAGACTTACGTTTCTATGAAGTAGGTACTATTGCCATCAAAAAGCGCTAGGTAACATTTTGTTTATCTAACACATTCTTCGAAAATTTATCGACTCAAAACTGTTCAGGGACGTTGGAACGAAATTTTTTGTTTTGGGGGACAAAGAACAAGAACAGCTATATATACGGTGACCAGCAGCCGGATTCCAACATTCGCTATTGCTAATTTTGAACAGCATGCCACATCTACTTACATGCCCATCATACTGCCAGATTTGACTGGTTTCACATTGCGTCTGTTACTTTTCCATGTTATATACTTTTAGGCCTCACTGCTTTTCATTTAGAGAATTTTGGCGATGAAAATTTACTGTAGCAATTGTCAGAATTCCACTGCTGCAATTCTCTAAATGAAAACAGTGGGACCTAAAAGTATACAAAAGGAAAAGTAACAGATGCCATGCAATGCCAAATCTGGCAGTATTAGTAATTTGACCAACCGTACTTCTTTCGAAAGTACAGTCAGCCCTGCCAGATTTACGAATTTTTCCGTACGGTACGGATGTGCAGGGATGAAAATGGTTATACGGTTTCAATGTACAGATTTTTAGCTTTCCGTCAAGATGTACGGATTTTTGTACGGACTTTCGGAGTGTCTTTTTCATGTTGTGAAAATTTTCCTTCTTTACACATATCTCATAGGTTTCTGATATTTCCTGAACCTTCCCTTTTTTTATTAAAAAATGCGTTGTTTTCGTACTTGAGACTTATCTATTAAAAGCTTTACTATTTTTCAGCCGATTTTAAAAATTAAACATGGCCTTTAAAATTAAAAAAAAACCCAAATTTTCTTTATTTTTTTCACTTTAACCATCGCTTCAAACATTACTCTGTTACTCGGTAGGTTCGAAAACTGAAAAGTTTTGTTGCATGTACATAAACTGGAATGACATAATGCACTAATCGCGCGCTGTGATGTTGATTCAAACTCAACATTTGAAAACACATTCACATGTATGGCTGTAACTGAGTGTGCAAAGACGCTGGATACAATTGGTTGCGGGTTCAATTACCATCAGACGGAACATAAAATTAAAACTGTTTTCTTCTTAGTTACGAAAAAGTAGCTGTGCACTTCACAACCACATATTTTATAACGTATATACTCAAATTTAAAACGAGTTGGGTTGGTGCTCTTTCATATGCGTATCTTTTTAAATTTAGCACGTTTTTTTTTAATTCTAAAATCTTTTTCCCTCAGTGTAGCCGCTTCTGTAAAATTATCGCGGAAAACTAAATTTTGTATATTTTTACAACTGGAAACAATTTATTTGAAGGGAGAAATTACCAATGGCGATTTCCTAAATTTTTACGCGCAAATAAAATAAAAAAATATCGCCAAATTGGCGCGAAATCGCCAAATCTGGATACTCTGATAGTAGCGACGATATGTACAGGCATATTTCTCGCAAGGAGTCTTTGCATTCATGAAACAAAGCGGAAAATCCACGTTGCTGTCTCGCCAACGACTGAACGATAGAGCGTAAAAGCTCAGTTAGTCTAGACTTAATTTCCGTAGCTTAACTTAACTTAATATTTTGGCCAACCTATTATATGAGAAACCGTGTTGGCGGTTAGTTAAAATTTAACTTACCGTAAGAAACTTAAGAACCTGTAGTTTTAGATTCTTAAGTTACGGCCTTACGTAAATTGAGACCGATAAGAGGATCACGCTTGCCAGATTTTCGGTTTTGTAATTCTCAAAAATAAATGACCGCAAACATATTTGTTTGCATGAATATTTTTGATGTGGCATTTTAGACGGCAAACTGCCAAAGAGCTGAAATAGAAAATACAAAAACAAAATATTCCCGCTTCTGGCTTAAGTTGACATGTTGAGTAATCATTGATGATTTCTTACGGTAAGTTAAATTAAGTTAAGTGTAGACTAACTGAACTTTAAGAATACCCCTGCAAAAATCGCCACTACTCCATGCATGGATGTAAAGAGTACTCCCTAAGGGTCAAGGCGTTCTTCAAAATTAACCACAATTCATATAAAAATGTGACCAGTTAACATTGCAATATCCTAGGACAGGGCCATATACTCCAGCTCTGCATTACATCAGAGTAGCACAAAACTACTCCAACATATTAACACTGGCATTGTTGATATATTTCTTCGTTTGTACACGCTTTTGTTCTTCACTTCACAGATGCTTTTTCGGAATTAATAAAAACCAAAAACAAAAATATAAATAAACAAGTAAGAAAGTCTAAGTTCGGGCGGAGCCGAACATTAAATACCCGGCGGAAATATTAAATATATTTTTTTCACATTTCCAAAATTGGCGTTCTTAAATTCGGAAATATTGAAGTTTCAAGCTTTTCTGAAATTTACTGTTATATGAAAAACGCCCGTATTTAAGTCAAATTTCAACAATTTTCAAAGTTTTACTTTCATGTGGCAAGCACAATAACCATACCGAGTTTGGTACAAATTGGTACAACGGTTACCGAGATACATACATATATGTAATCATAAGTGGGCGGTGCCATGCCCATTTTCCAAAATTTTATCATAAACGTATTTCTTGGTAAAGAATTGTTGCAAGCATCAATTTTGAATAAATTAACTTTAATATTTACTGATTTATCGAAGATTTCGTATTTCTCTAAATTACCCTTATATGAAATGTGGGCGTGGTTATTGTCCGATTTTAGAAATTTTCCGCCAGTTAGTATGCTGTACCATGGCCAACAACTGTGCCAAGCTTGGAAGAAATTGGTGCAGCTGTTACCAAGATATACACATGTACCCATAAGTGGGCGTGGCTACGCCCATTTTATCAAAAACTTCATAATATTCTTATTTTTCGTCTAAAACTTATTGTAAATATCACTTTTGAGTGAATTATCTTCGGTAGTTACTAAAATATCGCAGTTTTCGTATTTCTGAAAATTGCCTTTATATGGAAGGTAGGCGTGGTTATTGTCCGATTTTGCCCATTTTCAATACCATCCATCCTACGCCCGAAAGAAGTGCAGTACCAAGTGTCGTTGAGATATCTCAATTTTTACTTGAGTCATCGTGTGCACAGACGGACGGTCGGACAGACAGTCACCGCTTAATCGTTTTCTCTTTTCATTCTGATCATTTATGTATACATTTGTGTATATCTATCTCGATTTGTTTTGCCTGTTACAAACAACCGTTATTTGAATAAAGTTTTAATACCCTTGTGGACAAGTGCGCTCGGGTATAAAAATTACATGTTGCATCTGACGGCATTCGAACCCGAACCAGCTGGGAGCTAACAAGTACCATCAAGCATCTCAGCTTCAATCACATTTCGTTAAAATACGAGCAGTGATCCGGTAACAATAAGCTGGTGCAGAGACACGAGTTGGTCCGCTACAGCATGGCAGAGGAGATTTTTGCAGGGACGTTTGAAGTGAGAAGTGTGATAAAAGTTGCCAAATAGAAAAAATTATAGTGCCAAAAGTGGCACCTTTTGCCATTCTTTTTAATTCTTTCCATTTAGCATTGAAATTAGAAAAACATTTCTAAACCAATAGTCCAATGTCAAGGTACGATAAACCAGTTGTATACACTATAGAAATTTAGAAAATTTTAGTTGAGGCAAAGAAGTACAAGCAAATTNTAGGGCCACAAGTTCCCTCAGTGTACTAATAATCTTTAGCATCTACATTTCAAAGTAAACTTTTTGGTAAGAAAATAGGAAAGTACAGAATAAATTATAAATACCTTCACCTGAATATTCCACGACATTTAAATAATTCACTGCAGTTGAAAAAGAATTACCTTAATGGGTTAATCGCCAAAGGCAACTAAACTGATTAGTCGGTATCGCGCCCATTCCCGTAAATTTTTGGAAATGTATCGTTCGTGAATAAATAATGTAAAATGTGGTATTTATGACTTTTACTTTTCCCTCTCTAAGCCCAACCGGTTTTTTTTTTATCAAGTGTCACCATGACTTTTTTCAACCTGCCTCGATATAGTCGAAACACTGTGCACCGGTCTGCAAATGTAAAATTAAAAAAAAAGTCGGGCGTTAGAGAAAAAGAAAAG